ATGGACAAACCTCAATGGACACTGCCACCTTTCATGTCAGTCGTGCTTAGATCGCGTTAATGGCTTGGCATGTGTTCCAAAACTCATACGTCGCGGTTTTTTGTCGTGATGTTTGGCTAAATCACGGCTTGCACCGCTTGTGCTGTGCTTACCTCAAGTGTTTTATTGCTGACAGCATGACAGTTTCTGGCAGAACTCACTTGATGACACTAACCTGCATACCACAGTATTTATCCTGACCAGTATTTAGAGGCGGCTCAGTGCGTCTCACCGTACTGAGCATCAGTACATTGGTGCGCAGCTGCTGACCCGGCGAGACGTGAGAATGCTTTGGTGAAAGCAGATCCCGCAAGCACGACTGCTAAAATAGGTGTACCGCAACATTGTATGGCTTGACACAGTAATGGGCTAGATTAAAATGCGGAGATGAATCGGAGGCCAAGCCCAAACCCCTGACTTGAAATGATCCACCTCCGATGAACGTTTATTCAACGAATGTACGGATGTCAAGCTTCCATTGTGATCAGTGTAACACTCGGAATGGCATTGGCGCCGGTAGCGGACTTTTTGGCACTCTCGCCGGGATTTGGCGCCGGTTTTGGCGCCGCGCGAAAACCAAATGGTAAAAATGTGTGTTGCGTCCCAGCAAAGCACTGTTTTAAATGATAGCAACCATCGTTCAACCTTTGTGGCAGCATTAAAGACCATTTTTATTTCTCGCTTCAGGTAAAGGAATAAGTTGGCATTGGCTGGCATAAAGTACATCAAACTATGCCGTCGTTATGCTGGATGATCTGGGCTGTTGAGACGCATTCATAGGTTGCCATATTATTGTAGCACAGTATTTTCCACCTTTGAATTCCACGTTTCGCGTGAAGATCCATACGGATATTTTGATTTCTTTTGGCGTCCGATGGTAAAATTCCGTTTACAGGCAGTTTTGCAATGGGCAGTGTGCAACCAATGAAATGGTTGCACATTGCCCACTGCTTTGATATGCGCCGGAGATGCGCGAGATTAGCGCACCGGCAATGTAAATTTCATTATGACGCCGGATACTTGGATTTCCAAACTTTGCATTGCCGTTTTTGGTGCGGGTAACTTTGATATGGCCCGACCGCTTTCGAATCCGCAGGTGCGGCAAATAAGCTTACAGTACTAGATATACATGCTGAAGGAATTATCACGTTACATTACTACAGCAAGTTTTGGGCAAACGGTAAGTAGTTCACAACAAGTTATGTTTGGCATAGGTTTTGTACAGACTCACCTCGTTGACCTCACTTGGGTCACTTACATTCGCCGATTAAAAACTTAAATTTGCACAAAGGATGCAAACTTGATAGATTACAGGTACAACAAATGTGGTGTTGCTGCGAGCGTTCCGTTTTGAGCTACGCTCGAGAAATGGTAACGAAAGTCGACTTCCCCGGCCGGGCGTGGATTAAGCCATTCATCTTGCAAGCTCTCATTTTGGAAAGCCGACCAACGCACGCGGACGCACTCGTCCGGCCCGCCGTGGTGACCCAAGCGGGTCGACCCTGACCTGTGACAGCGGGCGGTCGGGAAGGGCTTTCGTAAACGAGGGGATTATGTCCCGGCCCACTTGTTCCGGGGAGAGGAACGCAGACGCTTTGAAACGCCGCGCGACTACATTCGACTAGGGCTGGGCCTCAGCCGTTCGCCACAACGGACCAGAATCGACTGGGGTGGGCCTCAGCCGTTCGCCTCAACGGACTAGAATCGACTGGGCCGGTCCCAAACAGTTGCCACGTACGTATCATGGAATGTGTTGTAATTGGTTTTAGAGGTAGATCAATGTCGCGGATATTTGAACCGCAGACGAGCGTGACGTCACGACGTCGACACCAAATCAAGATGCACGAACGTTTGCACTTTATATATGTGTATATACATACATGTGCACTTATTTACTGAAGGCAGTGTTTATTGTGGGAACATCAAATCTGTGTGCCTTACTTTACGGCTACATGTCTACGTCTACATGTCTACGACTCTTCAGGAAAATTTTGGCCAGAAAATAGGATTCCCAGTCACCTGGTCTGCTCTTTTGAAAGCGAAAATGATAAAATGTACTATTGTCGCTGTAATTCATTGCAAAAAAGGACACAGTGAGAGCCAGCACCGTCTGGTTCAATACACCATCGAGTCGGTGCTCTCCAATGTAATCAACGTTGTATTTGAACAGGCAAGCAATTATTTTGTTCTTTAGGTGGCCACCCAAGTCAGAGCCATTTCATGCCGTGGTGACAAAATGTGCCTGATGATAGCGCCCCTTCTCAGATGGGACACTTTGCCGGCAGTCTGGCACGTCTGCTAACTGAGACGAGCGGCTGGTCGATGATGCAGGCTCTTTCAACTTCAGTGGGTAAACGTGGTTATACGAGGCATCGGCATTCAGCCGATAAGCATTTTGCACAACAGCATTGATTAGTGCATTGTCTAGGCACGTACCTACATAATACGTCACGGACAAAGGTGATCCAGGTTTGGAAATGGAGCTTTTGGGTATAGGTCACATCTTGGCTCGCCTCAAACAAACCACTTTTGGCGCCGGGGAAGTGAGGCTCTGTGTCTAAGCCAGAGGATGCCTGAAGTCAAAAAGAGAATAGCTCTGGTGTAATTGAAGCACACGTATGCTAGAAACGGGTGTAGTTTTCTAGTCATTACTTACGTTAATTAAGCGACACAGAGCTCACGTCTAAATGCTTCATTACACATAAGTTGGTGCACCTCAAATACTGACTAAAGCATAAAACACGCCAAATAATTGAAATCGGGCTTCCAGGCACAGCCAGCTTTTCGTGGAAATATTTTTTGCGGGGACAGGATATCCAAATATGGATTGCGGGGCGGGCAGTTATTTAGTCTAAAAAGGGGGCAGCTTTGCAATACGCTATCTGGACTCGGCGATTTATGACGGAACAGGGAGCAGCGCTGTAGCCGAGGGCATGTAAGGAGACGGCTGATGAGTGCAGCCGGATGGGAACCGGGACTATGGACGATAGTTCCATAGCTCCGCAGGAAACATGCCGAGATAATTCCACCGACACCCGAAAAAGTCTACCGCTCTGCGATTGGTCGGTCTCCACCGGGCCGGCTTTTCTTGACCAATGAACGGGTGGCACCTCGCCATTCTGTCAACGTCGGCCGGCGCCCAGTTTGGCAACGTTGTGCTCTGGAGTGTTTAGTGCTTGCTGATCCTGACTCAATTCCATAGGTCCTGTGCCACAGGTGAAAAGGTGAATGGAGCACATTAAGACATCGTGAGACGTTTCGTTCCACACAACGTCACGGGTGCAGCGTTGAATTGGACAACTATTCTAAGGGAAGAGCCCGTATGCTACCTTACCCAAAAATACTGATTTTAGGCATGCACAATTTACATATCGATTTGTGTAACATATTACCGAGAACAAATGGCAAGCGACTGCTATTGTTACTTTGCCCGTACACACTTCGTGCACAGGCGCTGGGAGGGGTCATGGCTTCTCACGAAATAGGACGCAATGTGCGTTGACCGCCATTATCAGTCATCAGAACGCTTTGCCGCGGTCACAGACCGACCGACACTGCAAACGCACGGTGGCTCCGCCCAAATTTCTAAGGCTAGCCAATGAATGACCGGCTATTAGCTGCAAACTAATGACATCAGGCTTGACGGCCAGCGTCGTTGGTTATTCAGCCAATCACAGGACAGCAGGGCGTCGGCGATCGGCAGCACGGCGGCCATTGGTCAACGGCCTCGGGGAGGCCAGTTAACGCGCTGCGGGTCTCGGGTTCGTCTCGCTGCTGCTCCAGCATTGCCGTGTGCTCACTATCGCCGTGTAGCTGTGACTGCAGCATTGTCAGATGTGTGCGACGGCTGCACCAGTGGTGTCAGGCAGCCAGCGGTCGGACGGGACGCAGGTGTGCGGTGTTCGGTGATGTGCGGCCATCGGACGTCACGCTTTCCGTGCGCGTGCGACTGGCGGGCGGCCCGCAGACCAGCACAGGCGACAGCAGACCACTGTCTGCGGACGGGCCGGTGACACGAGCGACACGACACGACACGAGTGACAGTCAGACCTCGCCAACGAGCTGCCCGTCAGCAACTGACTGCCGCACAGCTCCGGGTGCACAGACACGCTGCTCAACACGCCCCAGCCAGTCGCCAGTCGCCAGCTGCCAGTCGCGTGCGTCGGTGGACCGGCAACACGTGGCTGTGGCGTGTCGGACGGTGGCGGCGCACCTGACCGGGCCGGGCCGCAGCACTGTGGCCTGTGTGATGCTCACCATGGCTTATATTCCCTCAGGCTGAGCGGGCCGGGCGGCAGCGGCGGCAGACACTGCAGATCCTCGGCTGCCGGCAGAGCGTGGGTCGACATCAGCCACCGAACACACACGGCGGCTGGCTCACACAAACACCGGTCACCGCAGCACTGGGTCGTGCGCTCCGTCTTCTCACCGCGGCAACCCAGGCGCCACGTGAACAAGCGACCGCCGGGAGTGCAGTGTAACAATGGAAGGTAACACGGTCACCCAGACGTATCCCCGACGAGGATGCGGTGCGATGCACTTTCAACGTGCAATCACTGCTTAGTTGGCTGACTCGGAGCTCAGCCGTCGGACCAGACTTGGCGCGACAATTCCAGCCTCCGATAAATAGCCTGGGGCGCATAATCAACGATCCCATTGACGGAGCGACGAACGCTCAGTTCGCTCCATCCGTCGACACGGAGGAGAGCGGGTGCGACATCCACCTACCGGAGACCTCGAGTGTGACGTCACGGTTCGGGGGCAGCTGGCGCACCAGGCTGTCTACCAGGGACCTGGTCCGGTCGTAGGTCAGACCACCACCTCCACCCCAGTGCCGTCAGCGACGGACAGCTGAGCACCAGCCTGCAACAGAGCACAGCACACGTCACACCCACAACACCGGCACACAGCGGAACAAAGGGCGCACCGCCCACGTGCTCCGTGGTGCGCCACGCGCCCCATCAACTGTTCGCCAGCGTCAGCAGACGTTAGCCTGCGAGGCTTCCGCCGCCGTAACAGCGGGTGCCGCCCCCTGCAGCCGGCTCTGACTGGACCGATGACGCAGTGGGGAGCCCGGTGTGACGTCAGAGCCCGTCCCGGCCGCAACACCCCGGCCACATGGGGCTTGCACCACGTGACGGCCCTGGGAGCGGGACGCACAAGTGCTGTCTCGTGGTGAGCTCAGCTGCGGAGGAGCAGACTCTACGGCCACCGGTATGGGCCGGCACCGGGTCACACCTACGGGGGGATGGCGACGCGGAGGGGACAGGGCGAGCACACCGCAGGCAGGGGCACAGCCTGGTTCATTAAGGCTGCAGTTCGCTGGCCGTTCAACACCGGCCCGTCTTGGGCCAGGCTTAGACTACTGATCGAGGTCACATATCAGCTGCCTCGGCTGGGCTCGGCTGGGCAGGAAACACGCCGAGAGCTAAACAACAACAATAGGCAGCCTCCCGGGGTGTCCAGGCCACGTGAAACGCCGCCAGTTTGCAATGCTCCTCATTTAATCGCCTTCGTCACGTCCCCCACCGGTGAGCTCACCGTGTGACACCATCTGTTGAACAAGACTGGCACTCGGTCAGGTCCAGCATCCTCAGACGCGGCCCGTGTAGCCGGTCCAGTGTGGCGTCCGTCACAGCGGGCAGCCAGGCCAGGTTCAGCTGACACAGCTGCCTGAGCCGCGGCAGGCTGTCCAGCCCAACAGCCGTCACCCCGAAACACGCTGAAACACACAAGAAGCCGGACCGGGTCCAATGCATCAGCACCGTCACGTGATCGCCAGATGACGTCAGAACATGAACAGCGGCTGAACCGCTGGTGCTGTAAACAACACCGCCTTTCGCAACTCCATGGCGGAGCCACGGCATGCGGGGTCGGGAGCGTGTCCTATTGATATGGAACAGCTGGCTTTAATGCGTCACTTCAGCTGCACCATCACCGTGTTGCCACTACGGAATACACGGAAACTGCGTGATGTGGAATATGCTCACTGTCTATGCTGAGTGAGTGCAGGCCTGGCAGCAGGTCGGGCAGCCGCTTCAGCGTGGAGTCGGTGACTTCACGGGAGCACGTCACGTCCAGGTGTCGGAGGGAGGGGAGGCCGGCCGGCGGCAGGCAGAGCTCCAGCGCCGGCTTCAGCCCCCTCGCCGTCAGCCGCTCCAGCTGTGGACAGCCGGCCAGCACCGCCGCCAGGTCTGCCGCCTGCAGCCCCTCCACACCTGACACGTCCAGCCGCCGCAGCCGAGGACAGCGGGTCAGCTGACGCAGGCAGGCCGGCTGTAGATGTCGACACCAGGCCACCGAGAGAGCCTCCAATGACTCGGGGAGCAGCGATAAACACTCTCCCCGCACGTCACTCCGCGCCACGTCCAGCCGCCGCAGGGACGGCAGGCGGCGAAGCAGCACCTCCGCGCACCGCTCGGCAGACCCGCGAGGCAGCGTGACGTCCCCCAGCCGGGGACACCTGGTCCACAGCCCCTCCAGAGGCTGTGGGGCCGCGTCGAAGTGGAACAAATCCACGCTTTCCAGGTGTCTTGAGAGCCGGGCTGGAACGACACACGGGTTTCAGTTTGAGACAGCGCTGCGTCCTGCAGCCTTTGCCCTCGCTCCCACACTCCGTCCGATAACACGGCGACTGAGGCATGCGCCATTAAATGATAACGCTTTAGAGGCGTCTGTCGCACTCACACTGACAAAACACACAAAACACTCACAGACGACGTCAACGGATAACGGCGCCGGCGGTGAGAAGTCATGGTCGGTTGTGAGCCGCCGCAGGGACGGCATGCGGCGTAGAAGCCGATCCATGCGCTTGTTGTTGGCGTGCTTCACGTCGTCTCTGGTAAGGTGGAGGTCATGGCGGCGCCCCAGGCTGTCGTCCACTGCCTGGCGCCAGCCACGCGACACTGCCGGCACCGACAGAGCACACTGTACAGCGGACCGCAGCGGCGCAGACGACGTTCATGTGAGACAAAAACATTTCCACCGGTCAGCACACCCAGCCAGTGACAACGTTTGTCGCGCAAGCGTGACAGTGAGTTGAAAACACACGTCACTGCCATTTCCCTGTGAGAGTAGGAGATCTTACGCTGGCTGCGGCTGGCGGCCAGGTCGCTGGCAGCTGGTGCTGTCTTACCTGCTCGGAACACCGGCGCAAACAATCCGCATCAAGCGGTCCCATAGACAAATAACATAACAATTCCACAACTGGAGGGCTTGAAGTCTGGACCCTTGCGACAACAAAGCAGTACGTAATGCAAATGGGGCCCGCGAAAATAGTACAGCAAATGATCCCAAACTGAAGCTGACAACCAGTCAACCCATGCCACCATTTAGCGTGATCATTACCTTCACGTTGCAGCGATCTGGAGGGTAAGAGGGTATCTTCGGCATATCTTTTTGCGACTTCGTTAGAATCATACGTTTGGGCTTCAAGTTGTACCACAGCCTGAACAACGCGAAATAAACTTGCGTCTGCATTCTGATGCAATACTTTTGCACTATTTATCACGACTTATACCAAATGCAGTCCCGTTTAAAGATGACATTTACAACAGATTGCGAGTACAAGCTGAACGCTCTGCCTCTCTCCTTCCCCACCGGCTTTCTCAAACTGCCTCTTATTTCTATGACATTTGCCAGCACAATTTTCAACAATACGTCACGCCGCTCACGCTCGCGCTTGCTGAAGCTTGGGTCTTCTTCAGGAGGAGGCGTGTGTGGTGCAAAATATCAAACACGCTCACACTAACATTACTTTGGGTGGTCCTGAGGCTTGGTCTTGAGGGGTTAAGAGAGGGGGGGGGG